GCAGACTGTGTTCTTCTATTGTTGTGACTAGAGATGAGCGAAGTATTGAAAAAATCGATTCGGCTGATTCGGCGAATTCCAGTATGAAATTCGATTCGATGCGAATTTCTTCGCTACGAAGATGGCTTATAAAAAGGGTTTCTAGGCTTCAGAAAGCCTTTAAATTAGTGCAGACACTGTACCTTTAATTTAAATGCCCTTGGAGATCAGGAAGGAGAAGGAGAAGGAGAAGGATGAGAAGAAGGAGAAGGATGAGAAGAAGGAGAAGGAGAAGGATGAGAAGAAGGAGAAGGAGAAGGAGAAGGATGAGAAGATGGAGAAGGAGAAGGATGAGAAGAAGAGAAGGAGAAGGATGAGAAGAAGGAGAAGGAGAAGGATGAGAAGAAGGAGAAGGAGAAGGATGAAAACAGAGATGAGAAGGAGAAGGATGAGAGAAGGAGAAGGATGCGAAGAAGGAGAAGGATGAGAAGAAGGAGAAGGATGAGAAGATGGAGAAGGAGAAGGATGAGAGGAGAGAAGGAGAAGGAGAAGGATGAGAAGAATGAGAAGGAGAAGGATGAGAAGAAGGAGAAGGAGAAGGATGAGGAGAAGGATGAGAAGAAGGAGAAGGATGAGAAGAAGGAGAAGGATGAGAAGATGGAGAAGGAGAAGGATGAGAAGAAGGAGAAGGATGAGAAGAAGGAGAAGGAGAAGGAGAAGGATGAGGAGAAGGAGAAGGATGAGAAGAAGGAGAAGGATGAGAAAGAAGGAGAAGGAGAAGGATGAGAAGAAGGAGAAGGATGAGAAGAAGGAGAAGGATTGAGAAGAAGGAGAAGGGAGAAGGATGAGAAGAAGGAGAAGGATGAGAAGAAGGAGAAGGATGAGAAGAAGGAGAAGGATGAGAAGAAGGAGAAGGAGAAGGAGAAGCAGAAGGAGAAGGATGAGAAGAAGGAGAAGGAGAAGGATGAGAAGATGGAGAAGGAGAAGGATGAGAAGAAGGAGAAGGATGAGAAGAAGGAGAAGGATGAGGAGAAGGAGAAGGATGAGAAGAAGGAGAAGGATGAAGAAGGAGAAGGAGAAGGATGAGAAGAAGGAGAAGGATAAGGATGAGAAGAAAGAGAAGGAGAAGGATGAGAAGAAGAGAAGGATGAGAAGAAGGAGAAGGATGAGAAAGAAGGAGAAGGATGAGAAAAGGAGAAGGATGAGAGGAAGAGAAGGAGAAGCAGAAGGAGAAGGATGAGAAGAAGGAAAAGGAGAAGGATGAGAAGATGGAGAAGGAGAAGGATGAGAAGAAGGAGAAGGATGAGAAGAAGGAGAAGGAGAAGGATGAGAAGAAGGAGAAGGAGAAGGATGAGAAGAAGGAGAAGGAGAAGGATGAAGAAGATGGAGAAGGAGAAGGATGAGAAGATGGAGAAGGAGAAGGATGAGAAGATGGAGAAGGAGAAGGATGAGAAGAAGGAAGGAGAAGGATGAGAGAAGGAGAAGGAGAAGGATGAGAAGAAGGAGAAGGATAAGGAGAAGGATGAGGGTAAGGAGAAGGATGAGAGAAGGAGAAGGATGAGAAGAAGGAGAAGGAGAAGGATGAGAAGAAGGAGAAGGATGAGAAGAAGGAGAAGGAGAAGGATGAGAAGAAGGAGAAGGAGAAGGATGAGGAGAAGGAGAAGGATGAGAAGAAGGAGAAGGATGAGAAGAAGGAGACAGGATGAGAAGATGGAGAAGGAGAAGATGAGAAGAAGGAGAAGGATGAGAAGAAGGAAAAAGGAGAGGATGAGGAGTAAGGAGAAGGATGAGAAGAAGGAGAAGGATGAGAAGAAGGAGAAGGATGAGAAGAAGGAGAAGGATGAGAAGAAGGAGAAGGAGAAGCAGAAGGAGAAGAATGAGAAGAAGGAGAAGGAGAAGGATGAGAAGATGGAGAAGGAGAAGGATGAGAAGAGGAGAAGGAGAAGGATTGAGAAGAAGGAGAAGGAGATGAGAATGAAGGAGAAGGATGAGAAGAAAGAGAAGGAGAAGGATGAGAAGAAGGAGAAGGGATGAGAAGAAGGTAGAAGGATGAGAAAGAAGGAGAAGGGAGAAGCAGAAGGAGGAAGCATGAGAAGAAGGGAGAAGGGTGTTGTGGTTAAGGATTTAGAAGAAGGTTGAAGAGAAAAGTAGAAGGAGAAGGATGAGAAGAAGGAGAAGGAGAGAAGAAGGAGAAAGAGAAGATGTGAATGTAGGAAGAAGGAGAAGGATGAGAAGAAGGAGAAGGATGAGAAAAGAAGGAGAAGGATGAGAAGAAGGAGAAGGATGAGAAGAAGGGACAGTTCTGTGACAGTTTTCTGTCTATTTCTGACAGTTCTGGGACAACTTCACTCCATACAGCGGTTTCAACCGCTGTATGGAGGGAATGTCATAGAACGTCAGAAATAGACTATTTCTAACAGTTCTGGGACATTCCTTCCATACAGCGGTTGAAACATTGTATCTATTTGTTTCCATAAATGGATTCATTAATGGAAACAAATAGATTACAATGTTTCAAACCGCTGTATGGAAGGAATGTCCAGAACTGTCATAAATAGTCTATTTCTGACAGTTCTATGACATTCCCTCCATACAGTGGTTTCAATTCAACCCGCTGTATGGAGTGAATGTCCCATAACTGTCAGAAATAGACTATTTCTGACAGTTCTGGGACATTCACTCCATACAGCGGTTGAAACCGCTGTATGGAGGGAATGTCATAGAACTGTCAGAAATAGACTCATTTCTAACAGTTCTGGGACATTCCCGTTCCATACAGCGGTTGAAACATTGTATCTATTTGTTTCCATAAATGACATTCTGCAAATACACTTAGAGGAGCGCTGCAGATACACATTTTGCCGGCTTGGAATTAATCTTATTTCATCCTACTTCTTCTTCTTCTTCATTCCTCATCCTTATAAGAAAGAAGAAGAGGATGAGGATGATGAAGAAAAGAAGTAGGCAAAAAGTGTATCTGCAGCGCTCCGTCTAAGTGTAATCTGCAGAATGTCATTTATGGAAACAAAAATAGATACAATGTTTCAACCGCTGTATGGAAGGACAGATCCCAGAACTGTCATTAATAGTCTATTTCTGACAGTTTCTATGACATTCCCTCCATACAGCGGTTGAAACATTGGTATCTAATTCTTTTCCATAAATGACATTCTGCAGATACACATTAGAGGAGCGCTGCAGATACACTTTTTGCCTACTTCTTCTTCTTCTTCATCCTCAAACCTCTTCTTCCTTCTTATAAGGAGGAGGATGAAGAAGAAGAAGAAGAAGTAGGATAGAAAATAAGAATTAAATTCCAAGCCGGCAAAAAGTGTAGTTGTCTGCAGAGCTCCATCTACAAGTGTATCTGCAGAGCCTCCTCTAAGTGTCATCTGCAGGAATAGAGGAACTCTGCAGCGATACACTTTTTGCCGGCTTGGAATTATTCTTCACACACACACATCGTTCCTCCATACCTTCTTCTTATTTCTTCATCTTCTTCATCTTCTTCTTCTTCATCCTCATCCTCATCCTCAGAAGAAGAGGATGAGGATGAAGACGAAGAAGAAGACAGAAAGAAGAAGTCGGAAATAAAAAGACAGAATAATTCCAAAGCCGGCAAAAAGTGTCATGATGCAGAGTTCATCGGTATTTTCCGGACCAGTCATCTCTGACAGCTTACTTCACAAGTACAAAAGCGGTTTTGAAACATCTGTATCCTACAATGGAAACTAAAACGATAACAATGTTTTTCAACCGCAGTACATGTAGTTCCTATTTGGTCAGAGAACTGTCATAACATATCGGCGACGCTCACTAGCAGGGACACTTTTGCGCGGCTGATCGCGGAAATGTTCGATTCCGCGCACCCGAAGTAAGCAAAAATTATCCGGATTCGAACGCGAATCGAATATTTCCTGAAATTCGGACTCGAATTCCGTGTTCGCCATGGTTCGATTCGCTCCAATCTCTAGTTGTTGACATAGATGACGTTCAGAGAACATCTTTAATCGCCCAATTCAATGCAAAACTCCACGTAATTCCCAAGGGGTTCACATACTTTTTCTTGCAACTGTATATTTTTTTTTATCAGTTTGCTCCGAATGTAAGGATGTTATGAACTATGGGCTGAACACCATCTCCCTTTGGCCCATCAAACTCTGGGAATGTTGCTTTCAAACCTGCTGGTTCTACATTCTCAAGTGGACCGAAGGTTGTATAACACAGTGAATCAAAAATATAATTCTAGATGGAACTGCGAGATGTGCAAGGCACCAGACTGCTAGTGTTAGATAGGTTGCTTACTATCTTTATAGAGTGGAGGTCATCTAAGACAAGATTGGCAACGCGTACTTGTGTTCCTTAAAAGGGAGCTTTTATCCAAGACACCAGCACATACTCAGCAATACTCCATGAGTCATCAAAATCCGCCTCCTACACTGGTACACTGCATTTCACTATATCGCACCTCTAATACTGGAACCCCGCAATTCACACACTATCCAATCTCCCCGTGACCCCGCTATCTCCACTATATCTAATCACCATATGGCCAATCAACTCTGGGCGAATGTTGCGCCTTACCAGCTGATAGCTCCATTCTCAAGTAGGCCCAAGGTTATATGGCGCATCATAAATATTCGATGACAGTATGTCAAGGCAAACATGCTTTGTGTACAAAGAAGAGACGTCAAATGATTCTGCGAAGAATCTCTCTTGGGAACAGAGTGATTTTTTAGTTGGGGAAGTGTAGTAGTGTAAGAAATGCACGCTTACTTCTATATTGGACGCGTATCAAGACAAGAAGGACAATGCAATATGTTCCTGTAAGGGATCTTTTATCAAAAGAAACCAGCACATACAGCAATACTTCATGTCAATCCACAATCTACTTCCCAAAACCAGTAGGTGAACAACAAAAACAGCAGGATACAGGTTACAACAGCAGAAAGTCCAGAGTTACAATAAAGGAAGCACCATGAAAGCAATACCTTCACTAAGCTCTTAAATGGGTTACAAAACCCCAGACCCCGCAATCACTATATCCTCTCACCTACACCCGGACCCCGCACATTCACTACAATCCCTCTCTACCCGACCATGCATTCCCTATAACCGCTCTCCCCGGGCCCAGCATCCACTAATCCGCTCTCCCGGACCCCCCGCTTCCATTATGTTAACATCCGCTCTCCGCCCGAGAACTCGCATTCACTATAACTCCGCATCTCCCCGGTACCCTGCATACACTATAATATCCGCCTCTCCCGAACCCCGCATTCCACTATATCCTATTTCTCCCGGACCGCCGCACTTCACTATAATCCTACTTCTCCCGGACCCCGCATTCACTATATCCGATCTCTCCACGGACCCGTCATCTCTTCTATATCCGGTTCTCCCCATGAACCCTGCATTCACTATATCCTCTCTACCCGAACCCCGCATTCCTCTATATCCGCTCTCCGGACCGAAAAACCCCGCATTCTCTATATCCGCTCTCCACCTGAAACCCCGCAATCTCTATATCCGCTCTCCCCGGGACCCCTCGCATTCACTATATCCGCTCTCCACGACCCTGCATTCACTATATCTTGCTCTCCCCCGACCCCCGCATTCACTATATCCTCTCTTCCCGACCCCGCATTCACTATATCCGCTCTCCCCCGGACCCCGCATTCACTATATCCGCTCTCCCCGCGGACCCCCGCATTCACTATATCCGCTCTCCGCCGGACCCCGCTCATTCAACTACTAATCTCGATTAAACACTCCCGGACCCCGCATTCACCATATCTGCTCACCCCGGAACCCGCATTCACTAATATTCCTCTCTACCCGGACCCCGCAATCCACTATATTTCTGGTCTCCCCTGGACCCTGCATTCTACTATATCCGCTCCTCCCCGGGACCCATTGCATTCACAATATCCGCTCTCCCCGGTACCCCTGCATTTCACTATATCCGGTCTTCCAGGACCCCGCATTCACTATATCCTGCTCTCCCCGGACCCTGCATCCACTATCATCTGGTCACCCCGGGACCCCGCAATTCACTATATCCGGTCCATCCCCGGACACTGCATTCACTATATCCGCTCTCCCCGACGCCCCCGCATCACTATATCTGGTCTCCCCGGACCCCGCAATCACTATATTCTGGTCACCTCGCGTACCCCGCATTCCACAATATCTGGTCTCCCTCGGACCCGCATTCACTACAATCCGGTCTCCACACAGTACACACAACATATACATGCAAATATTTTCTCTAAATTTAAACTGCAAATATACCTTTTTCACATCAGCAGTATATAGAATTCTTGTTGAATTCTATCAGTGATTCAAGCAGAACACTGATTTAAAGCTTGTAGAAGGAGTTTTCTTTTCTGCAGTAGAGAGATGCAGAACCCCGACCACTGTGCAGCTGAGGACTAGTGGGCTGATTGACCTTGTGCTAAATCACATGCACCTCTCCCAAAGAAAAAAACAAAACACTACTCTAAGCAATACACAACATACTGAGCATGTGCACAATGTCTATGGTTCAGGTTTGTCCTATCAGGAGATAAGGCGTTGACATTTTGAACAAGTGAGGAGAAGCAGAAAAGTCAAGTAATCAAATCTGGCCTTTTTTACACCAATTGCAGATGATTAACCCCTTAGGGGTTCCAGTCATGTGGGTAATAAACAAGCATGCTTTACTCGACATCTACCGACTGAATTTACTGGTGTGAGTTTAGTAATATTTTAAATATATGGTTTTCTTTTGCTGGTAAATAACTCTTCTCACATTACTGATAGATTACTGCATAAATACTGTTAGGCCATACCTTCCCGTTGATGGATCTCAGCAGCCATGGCTCTCCAGAACTCCTATAGGAATCCCTAAACTGAAGGGTGTGACACAGCTTAAAGTAGAATTTGAGGCTGTTACAACTATACTAATCTTAAAAATCACTCCCCTTCCCCCTTCTAATCCCTACAAACTGACTAACCTACATAAGAAAGGATCTCTACACGTATTCTTACATTTATCAGGGCCTGTTCCGGTCCAAGATGATCACCGTGGTCAAGGTCTAACCTGGGCTCCCTCTAGGTGCCGCAATAATAAGTGCATGTGGGCAATGTAGGACTGCTTTGTTTACTATTAAAAGGCAAGCTGAAAATAATTAGTGATCACAGCTGCGATCATCACAATTAGAGCAAAGACCTGCGCTAACCTAAAGTTTTCACAACTAGTTAATCATTCATACAAAAAGTGGAGCCAAAGGTGGCCAGCCATTGTTTTTCAAAGGTGAGTCACTCCGGGCTTCTACCTTAGGCAGACTATCCATTCATCCCAAGGAAATCTCCAACACCTGTGTTCCTCCTTCCCAAAACTCTGGGTCTGCTTTGCGTTTCTCGGTCGCGACAGTAAATGGAGGCCTCCAGATTAAAAACACAAAGGGGCAACGGATTGTGGGTTTTTAACCACTTCTGGGAGCCCAAGCTTCTTTTTTCTGAATACACAAAACAACACTATCTTATTACTGGGCAGTCTCTAAATGTTGTTGTTCCTACACGTCACGAAACTCAGATTCCCACTTCCAGTTTTCTGCCACTCGCTAGTGCTTGGGATTGTAGATACTAATTGCCTTATGTCTCCAAGTCTGCAACACAATTCAAAACAAACATTTGTATATACAGGTAATAGTAGCCCCACCAGCTTATAAAGAACGAGTGTAATTCCCATGATGGTTCTCTTTGTGGGTTTTGGGATACTCCATTTTGGCCTTCAGAGGAATCTGTCCCACGGATACTATGTTATTTGATTTTGCAACAGATAACACTTAACTGGGTTTTTGAGTTTTGAGTCCAACTGACTCAGTGGGAAAATTTCCTCAACTACATGTTGAAGGTCTTTCTTCCACAGGTTTTTGGATAGAATGAGCGATTAATATCATCCTAATAGATATAGAACTAAGTAAAAATGAAGGTCTCCTAAGCAGTGCCCTATTAACCTTTCAAAACCATTGTGAGTATTAATTAAACCAAAAATTGCATTCAAATTAACTCAAAACAAGTCCATGGTAGCTTATTAAGACAGGCTTTTCATGATCCCTCCTCCTTGACCAGCATTTGTCAGTATCGCTCTTATTAAATCCAAGGTAGAAAAGAAACAGGCCTTCCCTGGGGACTATAAAGACCTCTCTACCTTGGGTAACAAGTAGGCATCCTGAATGAAGTCAAGTATTCAGAAGCATAACAAATAAAATGGATGTTACGCTAATATCAGTAGTACTAAGGACACAATAATTCGAAGAGTGGGGGAAACAGGAAAAAATAACCCCAAAACAGAGGTGATAAGTATAAAACGGCCTGAATCCAGGGACCTAATTAGGTGAAAATATGAACTGTGACAAAGACAACATGAGTAATAATCAGCAAGTGAACAAATTAAATAATAGATAAAACTGTGAAGGCCTGAACCCAGGATCAAACTAAGTGCAATATAGATTGTGATGAAACTACAACGTGAACAATAGTCAACAAGTGAACATAAATAATGTATTCAACATAATAGGACTAACACGTCCTAAATAAAAGTGCGCAAAAAACACCATGCAAAGAAAACTGTGCCAAAATCAAATGGCAAAAAATATATGCAAAATTAATCATACAAGGATCATGAAACTATAAACGCATCATAAAATAATACATAAAAATGTAAAGGCCTGAAACCAGACTAAACTAAGTGCAATATAGATTGTGATGAAAACAACGTGCACAATAATCAACATGTGAACATAAATGATGTATTCAACATAATTGGACTAACACGTCCTAAATAAAAGGGCACAAAAAAGCGTCGTTGACAAGAAAACTGACAACATCAAAAAGCAAAAAAATATATGTGCAAAACAAATCATACAAGGTGCATGAAACTAAAATGCACCTTATAATCAAGATTGATGAAAGTGAAAAACGCACAGTGGAAATAAATGTGCGTCAATAAGCACAAAAAATAATTAAAGCAACGTGACATATAACAAAGAACGAGTGACCATCGAAATAAACATAAGTGATCATCAAATCAGCATAAAGTCCATGTAATAGACCGCCAACTCCAAACAAAGCAACTATGTGAAATGAATGATAAATCCGTCACCGGCTAAAATGCCTCCTCACCTCCACGCCAAGACCCCAAGGGGCCACACAGCTTTCAGGCCTCACACTCCCAGGACCCTTAATATATATCCAAGATGATAGGATCACACCGATCACAGGAAATATGACCTTCCTCACCGTATGACCGTAGTGATTTCAGTAGTGTTGAACCTGGTAATCATTTTCACAGGAACATCAGCCGGCTCAGACGCACCCCAAGAGGAAAAAGAGAGAGTACCCCCATAGTGTAGTAATTTTAAAGCAAAAAACTTTAATGGAGAAATGCCAAATGAACACTTACATCACATCAGTTGAATTCAGGCCTAAAACACATGCATTGATATGGGTTTTTATACTTCCAGGGTGTACCAAAATGGCAGCGACCACCACCACGCACCGCTAATAGACCATATGCGTTACGTCACTGTCCCGTGACTTCATCAGGGTCCATCAGGGACATTCAGAAGCATAAACCACCCTCTTTTTTTCAAACAAAAGCTACTGGAAACACACAAGGAACTACAGGCCCTCCGATTACACCAACCTCCAACATCTTCTGGAGTACGTCTTTGACCTCTTTACAGAGAGCAGGGAGAATATTCTGATACCTTTACCTTACAAGGGCTATTTCACTGGTTTGTATGGATATGGTCAAGTGCCATGGAGCACCCACAGTCCTCAGGCCCTCTGGAAAACACACAAATTCATGCTTCAGTACAAGTTACTGCATCTGCCTTGCAATTAGCCTTTGTTGCACAGTTGCCCTAAGAGGGGGGGGTGTGTTGTGGGCTGAGGCTAGAATTGACATAATTGAGTGTCAGACACATTTTTAATGGTACATAATGGTAGTCTGCAGCATAATATGCGCAAGACCCAGGATAACCAAATTACCTGAAACTTTGCCTTGCTGAATGATGGCCAGTTTTCTAAGTATCAATGATATGTCTTTTGCTTCAGGGCTCTGCTATGGTGTTATCATTACTATAGTCCCTTTTAATTTTTTTTCTATTTCTCACTTGAATGGGAAAACATGCTCTTCATGGGGAAATGCAATGAAAAGTTTTGTGTGAGGGGGCAAACATACCATTCCAACTTTTCAGTTGAAGTGGCTTGCTTCTGGAGTGCTTGACAGGTGTTTTAAAAAGACTCTGTAAAAAGGTTGTCTGGGAAAGTAGAGCAATAGTTACTACGACTCCCATTTAATCACTGTGACGGGAGTGACTTTTGGGGGTGGGGGGAACCCTATCTCAGTTCCTCCTGTTCCTTTTATATCTAAGGCACCCTGTGCCTGTTAGGAGTACAGGGTGAAATGTTCTAATATTGGTGTGGGGGGGATTGTTCATTGTTCTCTGCCATGTGGCTGCATGCCATCGTTCTAGCAAACTATTATGGGATGTAATGTTTGTGTATTGGGGTGGGGGGTTGTTCATTGTTCACTGCCATGTGCTGCATCCCTTTGTTCTATTGTGTGTCTTGGTTTGGTGGGGGGTGTTTCCGGAAGCCCTTCCCCCTGAGGGGATGACTTGCTGATGTGTTTCCTGTTCCTGG